AACAGGCACTGGCTTTTAAAAGCAGGGGTTAAAACCCTTTTAATATTAAAGTGTAGCTGATGCCTGAAGTCTTGAGCACAAAAGCCAGTGCAGTCAGTGGAGAGATTCCTATTAACTCCGCTTAGGTATGGATGAGACCTTATAAGAGACCATCTTGTTGAGCAACTAATTAGAAACCTACCCCTCCTGTTGTATCCCAGTGCCCCCATCCCCCATTCCTGTGCACACTGTGTCCGCATCTTGCTCTGGCAGCTTCTTCATCCTCCAACTCTTTCCTGGCCCTGGCTCTCGATGCTTCCCAAACCCTCTAGGAGCTCTGGGATCCACCCAGAGAGTTGGCTTTTTTTCTTTTCTCATCCTCCTCTTGAAAGCAAAACCAATTGAGAGGAATTGGGAAGGCAGACTCCCTTTGCCTACTTTCCTCCTTGGCAAAATTAGAAGGGCAAGAAAAATATACAGGTTTTACAGCTACAAGCAAGATGCTGAGATGGGAGTTCCTGTATGGGGGGTTGGGGTGGGTAAAGTACACCCTATAAAGCAGCCAAACCTAAAAAATTTAATAAAATGCTAGCAGGAACAAACAAGAGGCGACAAAAATGACAAAAAGCTCCTGAGGTCAATCAAAGTTCAAGACTTGGTGAAAGAAGAAAATCTATGTATGTGTGAGAAAGAGGGAGAAGTAGCCATGATTGAGAGAAAGGAGACAAAAGGCGACAAGATAAATTGTGATTATCTGGTGGAATCAAGACACTTAACTGCCCAGTCTGATTCCTGAGGGGAAACAAATGGAGCTTATAACTTCGCACTGCAGAAGGATAATTTGTCCCTGTTTCCTCAGCCCTCTCCAGAGCCAGGTTGGCACTTGGGCTTGTGGGGGCTCAAACAGCATCCTTGGCGTGGCCCTGGGGAGAGCCAGAGCAAGCTGGTTTTCTTTCCAAGCGACCCGAGGAGGGTTTCTAACAGATGTGGTGCTCCTTGGGCTCCGCACACCCTGTCTGAGCAGGATCCTCTGCTTTTTTGACGATTTCCCGGTGATACAAACACCCATACGTGAAGGTGTTAGCACTGCTTTTGCAATCCTTTGGCAATTCCTATGAGAGAGTGTGGAGTCCAGCTGCAGAGCTGAATATCGCTGGGGCGGGTGCTGGCCTTGGTCTGGCCTCACCTCTGGGTGGGACAACAGCACCTTCCCTCTGGCCACCCTGGAAAATGGGATTTCTTGTGGTCTGTTGAATGGTGACCATGGCGCAGTTGCTCCAGCTGTGTGTTCGCCTTGTGCTATCCAGCTAGTCTGTTCCTCCTCTCTTCCTGCAGTAAATTGAGAGGGGGAAAAGATGTGGAGGGGAAAAGTAGGATTCGATAAATTGGAGCTAAAAAAATGGGTGGGAGGTAGCTTGCACAAACTTTTGTCACGGTGGTGAAAGTGGTGAAGGAGCTCAGCGTGCTCCACTGCGGTCCTCTTGCACTGCATGCCTGGTTTACACCACACGCCTAAATTTAACATTCCCCTGGGGTAAAGCTTGCAAAATTTAGAACAACAAATGACAAAGTGATTGCAAAGTCTCATTTCTTATTTCAGGGATCTGTTTCTCATCTTCTATTTAATTTGTTATTTTGATCTCTGTTTTATGCCTTTTATTTTTTCTTTTCCCCTTCTGTAATGAGTTTGGAGGTGCTCTTAGGATGGTGATTACTGACTGATGGATAGGTAAGGGAATAGATAAAGAGCTCTTAGTGTTTTCACCCTCACTTGTGAGGGTTTATTTAAGTTGGTATTTTCCTGTGATACAGTGCAGCTTACGCTTCAATGCTCTGAGCTTCCCTGTGTATGTCCTAATGAAGTTTCTTCAGTCTGACAAATAAAAGGAGAGAAAAGTTGAGGAAGGTATAGGCTCTGAATGTTCCTCACATGTTTCCCTTTCCTCTTCTTTTACCTGCTAAATCTGTCCTTGATTTTGCCGCTCTCGGACCAGAGAGCGGTCAAGCTCAACAATGCTGTTTCACAGGGATCTAGCTCTGCACATCTGCAGGCTGGCAGGAGTGAGAAATGTGAGTGGCATGATGCACTCTGTCCAGAAATGCCTTGTCTTGTTCTCCAGGTTATCCTGAATTTAGGAACTAAACTCCCTGACAGTGTGATGTAGCTGTAACACAAAGAGACAGAGAAGAGTTAAATGTTTGTTTGCTGGCTTTTTTTTTTTTTTTTTTTTTTTTTTTTCCCAACACACAAACCATGAATGCAACTATGATTAGAACTGGGTGAGACATAGTTTTCCTATTCAGCAGGAATTTAAAGATCGTTTCCCTTCCACTGAGATGCGACCGAGACCTTTTGGAGTTTGAAGTATTTGCAGTTCCAGAGAGAATCAGAGATACCCTGTTGATCTAGAGTTTTTGAATGAGATGTAAAGGGAGAAAGTCTGTTTCTCCCATTAAATTTGGCAGAATAGAGAAGTATGACCCTGGATTTATCTAGTTACTGCCGTGGGGACTGTCAGTCTTGCTTGTTTCCTGGGACAAAGAAACCTTTGCTAAGGATGGTTTCAGATGTCCTCCAAAATAAAACCAAGCTAGTAGCTTGCTTCATATCAAGACTCTGAGTTCTGAAAAAGTGTAGGGTCACTTTATATCTCTGTGTTGGCTTTACTGAAGAGATGGGAATGCTGCAGATGAACCAGCTGATGGCAGTGGTTTGGATAACGACTCTTGCTTTTGGGTCTTTGTTCAAAGGGTCTTTGATCATAACCCATCACTCGCTTGCACCTGTTTTGGTGGAAGGAATGTGTTTTTCCAGTGGTTAATTGTAGTTGCTCTTTCTAAAACAACTGCTGTTCCTTCTCCAAATAGAAATTTATCTGGGTTTGAGCACTGAGTTTTGCTGTGCTTTCATGCTCTGGAATATTCATCTTTAAGTATTACATTTTGTCCTCTTCATGGATATGTTCGAGATGGCCTGAGTCATCTTGCTCTTCCTTGTCATAAATGAAGCAGTTTGAGCTTTTAGAGCCCTTGTTAAGTGAAAAGCATTTTTGCTAGCTCTTGAACATTTGTGGCTCCCTTTTGCATCCAGTTTTGAAGATGATGAGGCCAGCCGAGCAGCTTGCAGAATTGCAGCCTTGGCAGAACCAGCTATATAGCCCTAAAGTCACTCCTCCAAGTGCCCAAAGAACACCGTGGCTCTGCCAGCCAGGCCATGGAAAGAGCTCCTTGTCTGCTTGGACCCCCAGGCCCACCAAAATGGCTGGTTTGGGGATGCTTTCCTCTGCAGCTGTGGTCCACCAGCCTTTTTCGAGGGCGTTGAGAGCAGGGTCACGAAAAGAGGGTTTCACCAAACAAGCCCCAATTGCCAAGCACTTTACCTGGCTGCTTGGTCCTCCCCGTTATTTGCCATGCTGTCTGTCACCCGAGTTTGTCCTGACAGCAATTTTATGTTGCACAAGGATGTCCCCCTGACTGTGATCAGTGGCCTTGGGACCTGCCAGGCAGCTGGGTCCTCGCTCAAGTGCGCTTCGTCAATGTTGTACAGCACTAAATTTTTAATCAGAAAGTCACACAGTGCTAAGTCAAATGCCTTACAAAAGTCTATTATTTCTTCGCAGTTACCTTTATCTGCCAAAATTGTAATCTCATCAAAGAATAAAATCAGGTTTGTTTGACAAGGCCTATTTTCCATAAAATTGTGTTGACTGGCATTAATTATGCTCCTATCATTTAGTTCTTTATTAATGGAATATCATATCAGCTTTTTCCATTATTTCTGCCATGATTGATGTCAGGCCAACCGGTCGGTAATTGCCCAGGTTAGGTTGCTCTGCTCGCCAAGCTGTGCTGCTGTGTTCACCCCCTGGTCTGCCAGAAGGGCAGTTAAATGAAATTTTGGCATCTGTTCTCCTCAGCCAGATGATTTGGGGTCGGGGAGTGCTCTCATATTGCCAAAGATGGCTCACACGGGGGATGTTGACTCCCATCTTTGAGGCCAGGCAGCCAAGAGGATCTCCCATCTTTATCTCTACCCACCAGCTTTTTTCCTCCTATTTTCTCCCCGATCCTGCTGAGGAGGGGACTGAGAGCAGCTGGGTGGGCAACAGACAGACATCCATGGTCAACCTGCCCCAGCAGACTTCAAATGCGATCAGAGGTGTCGTGGAAAGGTGCAAAATGAGTCAAGGAGCTTCTTATGGGGCTGAAATGTGGCTCCAAGGGCGGTGGCCGTCCCTTGCTTTTGGAGCAGTACAAGTCATCCCGCTCTGGGAGTGGTGTGGAGATCAGAGAGAGGACACGTGGCCCCACGCAGCAACTTCAGGGGGTCTGGGTTGCCTCTCGGGTGCTGTTAGGAAGAGACCTTTACAACCGCACACCCACGAGGGATGGCAGAGCAAAGCCTCTGTTGTCCAGGGTATTCAAGATGCTGCAGATGATGGCTTCAAATGTGATTTGGCAGAAGGTAGTGGTGGATTCGTCCCAGCGCCTCTCTGGGTGCGTGGGCTCCACGTATGCCAGGAAGACCAGCACTCGCTGCAGCTGCTGTTTAAAGCAAACCCCAGGTCTGTGTCTGGCTCCAGGCCCTGCCAAATCCCTGAGGCACCCGTGGGTGCCACATATGTGCTTTGGGCCTTGGGATGTTTGCTTTTCACTTGGAAATGTTGTTGTATCTGCTAGTGGTGCCCCTTGTCGGTGGGGGGGGGGGGGGGGGGGGGGGAGTGTGAGGGAGGTTGGTAGGCACTTACTGAGAAGAAGCATGGGTTCCTCCACTATCTCTAGTGCCCGAAATGGCCATGCTTCTGCTGAGCTAGTGTAACTCTCTCTTTTGATAAGGGTGAGGGAGGAGAGGAGCTGTGGTTGGGATTATCTGTGCTAGAGAGAACAGTATGACCATGCACACCTTGACTCCCCTTGCTGTTTGGGGATGGCCTGCATTCCCTGGCAAGCTGCATATGTTCAGGATTTCTTCCTCCCTGTCCCATTTTGCTCATTATTTCTTTCCTTTCCATCTCTCCCAGGTTCCTCAATTACTCAGCTGCTGGCCCGGGACCTGGACAACGATCCGCTGGTCTTCGGTGTGGTCGGTGAGGAGGCCAGCCGGTACTTTGCAGTGGAGAGCATGACTGGTGTTGTCTGGCTCAGGCAGCCCTTGGACAGAGAGGTAATGCCGTTTGCTACTGAGAGCATCCTCTGCCAAGGGGAGGGGGAAAAAAAACCAAACCCGTCTCTGCTCAGATAAATGATGGCTTTCCACCTTCTGTGGCAGCTGAGATGCAGCCTGAATGTTGCTCCCATTTGACATCGGGAATCCAGGTGTGTCCACGTCAGGGTCTGTCCCTAGCCACCTTGTCACCGTCCCCAGCTCAGTGGGGACACAGGGAATAAGCAGGGTGCTCTGGTTTGGTCTGGCTTGTTGGTTTTCCTGGATCCCGGAATAATATCTGTGAGGCTGGAAATAAAGAAAACAATAAATGGAAATGATCTGCCAAAGAGTCAGGATGCTCTTACGTTCAGGGAAATCTGCAGGCTCCCTCTTTAAACCTATATTCTGATTAAATCCTTTACTATTTAGAACAGTGTGTGGAGAGATGTGAGGTATCCCTGCTTTCTCAATCTCATCATGAGTTTTGATCATCTTGTGGATTCAGACTGCTGGACGCTAAATCTGGCAAGATTCTTGCCTTGGAGCTGTTTTACACCCCTGTTTTCAGTGGCAGCTTTGGTGTGCAAAGATGGTATCCCATCCTGGTGCCTGTTTTACAGAAGCCCTGGCCCTTGCTCTGTTCCTGGAGCAAGGAGGAAGGGACGGCGCAGGCGCTCTGTAAGACTGCAAAAAACACTACCTGACCTGCACCCCCAGGGCTGACAGTCTGTGCCGGCAGCCCGGGTCGGAGCCGGGCAGATGTGGGGATGGGGAGGAGCGGGGCGGTGGATGCTGCTCAGGCTGGGGACGGGCAAACCCAATTCCACAGCGTTAAGAGCGAGGCTCTGGAAAAATAAAACTTTTTTCTTCACCCCTCTCCCCTCCGCCTCCCCGTGCCAACAGCTGCTGGCATGAGTCATAAATCTTCTCTTATTCAAATGCTTACCTCTTCCCAATACTTATGATAACAGCCTTAAGCTGAGGAGGGTGATCAATAGATTTTTAGGTGGCTTTTGATGGAGGGTAGGAAGAGGAGGAGCTGAGCAGAGCTTGCATGTATGGCCAGGCTGAACTGGGAGAGGAGCCTGCACCCGTCAACTGATCCGAGGGGCTCAAAGTCAGCAATACACGGAAAAGGGTGAGGACAGACATATGCACAGCTTGGTATGGATAAGGGAAAAGGTGTGAAAAATGCCAATTCCGTGGTGGAGGAAGCTGGATGGCGTGGGAGGGGAAGGGATGGAGGGTGGGCAGCGCGCTGGGAGCAGAGAATGCTGGCCTGGATGAATGCGATCAAAAAGTCAGGGGAGGGAACGCCATATAAGAAAAGTGGTGAAGAAAAAAAAGCAAGAGAACAATTCTTGTACAACAGAGGAGAAAGAGAGACTTGAAAAGAGAGAGGGAGTCATAGTAAGGTAAATGATGCAGGAAAAGGGAAAAAATGGAGAAAAAGAGGAAGGAGCGGATGTATAAAGGCAAAACAAATCTAAAATGTTTTTACTCCCACAAAGATTAGAAGGAAAACAGGTCTTAAAAAAAAAAAAAAAAGACACAGCCCAAGTTTAAAAAAACTATGTGCTGAAATGAAGGGGGGAGACAAATTAGCATGTGGCAGCTTTCTCTGATTATGTTATCAAGTTTTTAAAATTTAAATGCTCAACAGGTTGTTTCTTATCTCTTATTTTTCCTTTCTTCCCTACTGCTTTGTCCCTCGCGGTGCCACCGATGCGTGGCGGGGGGGGGAAGGCGGTGAAAGGCACTGACGCAGCAGGGTGGGATGTCACAAGGAGCAGAGGTTCTCCTCTCCATCTGCATTTCAGCTCTTTCTTCTGCCTGCAAGCATTCCCCAGCTAGGAAAGGCTTTATCAGGTTGAATTCCCCGGCTGTTTGGACGGAGTGGGGGAGGCTGGGGGAGCAGATGTGGGGGCAGGGGGGTGCATGCTCTGGTAAACTGTCTCCCCAAACCCTTCTCCAAGATGAACTGCTACCCTGGTGCAAGCAGAGCTCCCAGTCCGGGCGCTGCTACCTGTCCCTGAGCTGATCTTATTAGGAATAAATCAACCAAATCTGTAGCATGGAGAGCCATTTCAAGCTTGCTTTCCAGCCTTACCTGCACGATGCTTTGGAAACGTCAAGCTGCTGTGCTCTGGCAAAAAAAAAAGGGTCACTGGGGGTGGGAAGGAATGCTGGAGAAGGAAGGGATTGCTGGGACTGAGGGAACTAAAACACCAGACGGAGCCCAGGCACCAGATAGATGTGATGGCCCAAGTCCTGCTGTCCAACCCTGCATGATTTCTGGTCAAATGTGAATGAAACGATCGCTGAAAATGTGAATGAAACGATGGAAAAGAAAGGTCAGGAAGAGGTCTGCTTCCACTAGCAATATCCCCCTGCATTGCCACCAAAATAATTCCCTCTTCCCTACTTGTCCCTCACCCCAGCACCAGTGACTTTAATCTATTACCATTTAAGACCAAGCTGTTAATTTAGTTAAAGCAATAAGGGGCAGAGAGGACTGCACAGGCAATTTTTTTGAATGGGCTTATGGGATTTCAGCCAGTTCTTACTACGGACCCTGGGTTTATCCCAACATTCCCAGCTATGTGATATCCCAAGAACTGCTGCACGGCAGGTAAGTTGGGAAAGCAGCAGCAAGATTTAGATGTCCTCAGTCATCCTGCGTTGCCTCGTCATCTCGAACCAAAGCTAATCACACAGCTTTTTCATTGGACTTCCTTCTCTTTTTGCATCGTCCCTGTATCTGGCAGTCAGAGGAGGTGCCACAGTACAACCCGGGGTGCAAACTGCTTCTCTCTGCCTTGCACTTACTCCCGCTTGATGCTACAAGCAGGCAGCCTGCGGCATCGAGGAGAGACCTGGGGCTCGCCAGCACGCTGCGGAAGGTTAAACAGCAGGCTCCTCTCACCCATTTCAGCCTATCTGTCTGTTTAAAGAGCTCGGCTGCTAGCTGGGGAGCTGGTTCCCTAGTCCCCACATCCTCCTGACCCAGGGCAGCGCAGCTCTCTGCGCCTCTGAAATACACTGGAGCCCTGCTGGCATTAATATTTCTCAGCGTTTTATACTCAATGTAGGTAATTGCACTCAAGCGCCCCTCCTCTTCTCGAAGGTCCTGAAAGCATTTTGCATGTAATAATGTTGGCTAAAAGTCCCAAGCCTGACATCTGCAGATAAACACTACAGTATCTTTAATTATATGTTTTTCTCCTCCTTCCCTTTCAGACTAAGTCAGAATTCACAGTTGAATTTTCTGTCAGTGACAGCCAAGGGGTAAGTGTGACTTCTCATTTCACGGTCTGCGGCACGGGCAGAGGGGAGAGGATGAGCGTGGGTTGCTGGGGGACCTTCTGCATCACCCTGGGGGGATCTGGGGAGCAGGGGTCACCCCTGGCCGTGACTTGCCAAAAACCTAAGTCAGAAAACACCGCCACACGCTTGCTTTAGGTTTTAAATCCATCCGTAAAGCTGACGCCTGCTCCCTGTCGTTACCCTTGTGACCGCAGGTGATCAAAGGGACGGTCAACATCCAAGTCGGAGACGTGAATGACAACGCCCCGCAGTTCCACAACCAGCCCTACAGCGTCCGCATCCCCGAGGTAGGGATCGCCGCAGCCTCTCCCGGCAGCCTGGCTTCCAGCCCTTCCCTCAGTGGCCACTTTTGCCCTCTGGTTGCCACCTCAGGGCTATCTGCCTGGCTGCGGGAGGGCCACGGAAGTACTGGACTGTCCTCCTGCTCTTGACCCTCGCAGGGGCTGGGGAGAGGATTAAGCCTCTGGAGGTTATTGTTGCTTGAAAATGGGCAGAAGCAAAGCGACAGTGTTTTGGATGTTGGGGGAGGGCAGGTCGAAGAAGAGGTTTGGAGCTCGGAGCCTTTGTAGCGTTGGTGATCTCTTTCCCATGACAAATGTGAAGTTTGAAATTAGCTGTAAAGAGGAAACTGTTTCTTTTTCTCTTCCTTTGAGCCAGGGGGCATGTGCAGCTCTTGTCATATAGTTGTGTCTTGAGGCAGGAATAAATATTTCTCCAAATGCTTGATTTCTGGCAGACTCCTGCCTAAAGGCTTCTGTGCTTGCTGGTGGTCTCTTTTAACAGCTCTGTAGCAGGACTCATCCCATGATGTTCTAGGAATAAAGTAGGTAGGAAGGGACTGCAGGAGATCATCTGGTCCAAGCTCCCACTAAAGCAGAGAGAATTTTCGTATTAGATCAGGTCGCTCAGGGCTTTCTCCAGCCAAATGTTGAATGTCTCCAAGGACAGGGTTTCCACACCCTTCTGCAGCTCTCTCGGTGTGCTGGCCATTGCCAGGGAGGTGGCACCTAGTCATACCGTCAGGGAGAGCTTCTGCACCTAGAGCTTAGCTTGGCAGAAATACGCCGGGAACTTACAGATCTGGTGTGAATTTAGGCTTTGAGTATGGGGAGTGGAAGGTGTCTGCTGGTTCTAGGAGGACAAGGCCAAGGTATTAAAGTTGAAACGGGGGATTAGTAGGGCATTACACATCCTCCAGTGGAGGCAGCCTCTCCTTCTTGCACCCTGGTGCCAGGGCAGAGCCTGTTTTTCCCAGAGCATGTCTCGGGGTGTGGATGAGGTCAAGTGTGTGTCTGTGTGTGTGAAATCAAGCAGTCTTTGGTAATTGAGAGGTACAAACGATTGTGTTACAACGGTTTATTTAATATGCTGCCTGCTGATGCCCTGCCGTGCTGGGCTTTGATCTTTCCCTGTCCCTCTGCTGCGAGGATGAGGTTTCTTCATTAAGTTGCTTGTGATGTATGATCCGGGAGTTTTAGTCTCATCTTTGCGCCAAGTCATCTGAAACCTCCCTTTGAGAATGACACTGGGTCAGAGTAATTTCTTCTCCTCTTTAAAGCGTGAACGGTGCAGAAATGACTTGGCAAAACCTGCACGAGCTGCTCCTCGCTCTCACCTTTCTGCTCGGACCTCTGGAAGCTGATGGGTGACCACCCTGAGTTGTTACCACTCCTCCTGGTGATGGTCTGACTGCAGAGGTCTGCAAAGCAAAAGGAGTGTCAGTAGGGCTGAAGGAGAATAGCCTCTTCTCCCCTGCCCTCAGATTTACCTCTGGTTTTGCTCTTTACAACACCTGGTACAGAGGACTCCCTTCTGCACGTGAAGAGATGGAAAGTGGGTTTCTGTATCTCCCCTGGGAACTGGTGCTGTGTTAAACCCTGGTGTTTATACACCTGGGGCAGGTGTGCTGGATCTCCTCTTGCTCGTCACTTCTGCCCTAAGAGCCAATATTGCAAATCTTAAGACTTAACACATTTCTGATCTTAACTTGCTTCAAGCTTGGGGAGCCGGGAGGGCAAAGGTCCAGCGCTGGTGTGGAAAATTAAGGCTGGCTGAGGAAAGGGAACTTGTGGGCGGGTGACCTGGCCAAAAAAAATAAATAAAAGAAGCAGCAGATGAACCCCAGAGCCTCCCTCTTGGATGTCATGCTGCTTTGCATGTGAACTGCCGGGTTCTGCCGGGAGGGATTTCCAGGACCGTCTGATTGTTCGGGGTATAGCAAGCACAGGGCTTCCCCCTGCGCTCACCCGCTCTGCCACTTGGCCTTCAGAGCTGTGCTTTTCTGGAGGTTGGCCTAATCTAATTACAAGGCATCGTGTGCCGGTTTCCAGTTTCTATCCATGATCTTTAACCAAGGGCACCAATCAGAGGTAATGAGCCACAAACTCGTTGCTCAGCCAGCGTCCTGGAGGCGTTTCTGTTCCTCTGCCGGGGAGGCAGCCTTTCCTTGTCAGGCACTGCGAGAGGAGGGGGTAGGGTCCCACCACCTAAGGAGGGACCCTCCAAGGGCTACAGCCCGAGGGAGATGCGAGCAGTGACTTTCCTCCTCGTGTGCTGGCATGACTCGCAAGGAAAAGATGCCTCTCTTACTTTGAGAGCTTTGCTGGGCCACGGGTTGTCCCTGTTGCTTGTCCACAAGTACTCGAAGCTGGAGGTGACGTGGCGTGGAGATGTGGCTACAGAGGCAGGGGACACCTGGGATGCAGCTGAGGCTGGGGAACCAGTCATGGTAGGGGATGACAGCATCCCCAGGTCTACCCCCTGTGCTCTAGATGGCTCCGGCCACGGTGAGCAGCAAGGGCATGGGTAGCGAAATCTGTCTCGAAGGCCAGCCAGCCCAAGCCAGAGGGCCAATAGCTAATGATTAAAGAGGGGCTGGAGCCTGGGGATGGAGAAGAGGCTAGCAGAAGTGCTAGTGCGGCTTTGCATAGACTGGCTCTGTGCAGAATTGGCAGCTAATGAGGGTTTTTCTCTTTTTAATTTTGAGATAAATGGATGTATCGATTTGCAGTTGTCCTAGCTAATGGAGCAGCAACAGAAAGGCTATTTAAACCTCACTGCTATTGTGTGGCACTAGGAAAGTCAAAAGAAGAGTGTGCATAAATAAATGGAACATGGAATAAACTGACCTTTAAAAACAATACTGACTTTAAATACTCACCCTGGTGTTTTACACAGTTCGCTTGACTTGAGAATGGGAATTTATTTGGGTACGGGCTGCGGACACGATTCCTCTGTAGCGTGGGGAGGAGGGGGGGAGAGTTAAACCGTGGGCTCCTCCGTGTTGCAGCAGCTCCAAATATACAGACCAGGGATCGTTCGTGTGTTGGGCTGGTGCCACTGGTCCTCTGTGCTTGTCATGCCTTAATCACATCCCCGGCACCTGCCTGGAATAGCTGAGCGAGGGCCCGCGCGTCGGGAGAGGGACGTTGCTCCAGCGTAATCGTCCGTTCCGTCTGGGCAAGGGCGCCCCGTGATTTGCTTGTCAAAAGGCAACGAGGCAGCGCGGACGCTTTCAAGTCTGTAAAGAAAAGGGGAATCCTGCTAGAATTGGCAACTTAATTCACCAAGCTGGCCTCGACAGAGCTCATTAAGTTCTCGTGTATTCATTTCAGGCTAATGGCTGTCATGCTGACTGCTGTTTGATTTGCTGTAATAGACTTTTATGGCTTTCCAGTTTTGCTAGGACGTGTGTGCCTGTGTCTGTGCCCTGTGGTGCTGCTGTAGTACATTAGTTAGCCGCTCATGTGCTTGCTACTCTGACCTTCAGGGTTTGTTCTCCTCTTGGATGCATCCCTTGCACTTCACCTCCTGCACATGCTCTTTTTTACCCTCCTCATCCTCAGTCAGACCCAGGGCATCTTGTTTCTGGGAGTCTCGGGGTTTGGCTTTTAAATCGGGAGAGATACACTGCTGAGCCCGTGGCAGGCTGTTGTGGTGATGCCTCGGTTTCTGACGAGTCCGATCTGCTTTATCTGATCTATTTTTCCATTTGACTGGATCTGTAGGAAACTCAGCCCTGTTGGATTGCCACAGTTCAATGCTTTTATGTGAAGCGAGCGAGTGAAGTGGAGCCAAGCCCCCCCGTGTTGGTTTTGTGGTACCCGGTGCGCTGTTGGGATCGGGGCGGACTGTTCCCCCTGGGTGCCTGCTAGGCTTTTCTGTCCCAGCTTCCAAGCACGAGACCTTCTGAGGCACACAGCCCTCCAATTGCCTTTGAAGCGAACAACCTTTAAGCCTATGATTTAAAGGCATGGCTCTGCAAGGCGCTCTTCTGCATCTGCTACTTGCAGGTGCTGTGCCGTCTACAGGACCACATCTTGGGTCCTGCAGAGGTTCCTCAAATGTTGAGGCTGTTGTGTGGTGTGGTAACCAAGTCCTGGTACATTCTTGCAAAGAGCTGTTTTCCCCCACGACTCCCCAGCATCCTGAGCCTGCTGATCAAGTTCAAACCATCCGTGGCCTTCTCTTGGCCCTGGAACATCGTCAGTCTTCACGTGTTGACAGAAAGGTCACTTAATTAATGGGTTCTTTGTTGAACGTTCCCTCAGGAGGTTTCCAGTAGGATTTTCTCTCCTTCGGTGCTCTCCCCACCTCACTCCTCCTGTTACAGTTAACACACTGAGTGATTTATAAAGTAATATCTATTACTGGGTTACATCTTCCAGCAAAAAGCTGTCCCCGGCCAGGCTCTGGGCCAGAGACTGCTGTTTAGCACCCCAGCCATTCACGAGGTGACAGTTGCACCATGAAAAGTATCTGTAACTTGACAGGAGATATTAATTATAACCGGACTCCATTTTCAGCAGGCACCCACCGCATCTATAACCACAGCCAGCCGCCTTGGGACTGTGCTCATCTCCTCATATGTTCAAGCAAGCGCCAGTAAGAGGCATGGCTGTGGGAAAGGAGTTTAAAAATAGAAAGGAAAGTTTCTGGGCAGTACACAGCATCAGCTAGGCAACTACAGTCCAGCTTGCAGGTCTCACATCTTCTGAACTCAGCCCTGATTTATGAATTTATTTTAATTGGGAGGCAGGCAGGCACTTACCATCAACAGCAGTCCCTTCTGCTCAGGGAGTAGCCTTTGGGATTGAGCCTTCACAAGCTGCTGGTCACTGTTTCCATCCTTAATATGGTGATGTAGTTGCAATAGTGGCTTTTATGATTTTTTTTTTTTTCTTTTTTAATTTTGCAGAAAAGTGTTTGGTGGGGAGGGTGAAAGAAAGGAGGGGACCGTCACTGCCCTGTCACATTATGCAGCCTGGAACCAGACCATGCTAGATGG